AATATTATAATTTTGCATATCTATAGATTATTGTGACCACAACATATACAGAATACACATATATTTCTGTAGGACCACAACTTCCTACAGAAATACAGTGTGCATACTTTAGTTCCTCAACAGCAGTTGATGCTTGCATTTTTGCTTATCTCAGGATTAACTTGTACCACATTCAATCCTGAGGTGTAACAGATCTACAAGTTTAAGCTATTAGCTAATTTTCAGCGGAGTGTCCCTGGCGTGAATGCAGAGACTTGAAGAGGACAGGCTGTCATGGTGACGGTCTACTGAGGCTGTAGCATTAGCACAACTGACAGACTGAAGAGGCCATGAGGATGGTTGAAGTGTGTGTAAGTTTTCTGTGTGTGCATTTAAGAGTTTCTGGAAGGCCTGATAAGGCAGAGTGATACCAACCAGAAGTGTGACACAAACTGTACCTGCCATACGGACTGTGTACAATCACTGACTGCTAATGCAAGAAGGTAGATTTTTCAAATATGCTCATTCACACACATCTACGCACTCACACACACACTAACAGAAACCAACATAGATTTCTCTCAATGGTCAATGTACCTCATATGCAATAAAAGTCATCAAATATCAGCAGCAATCACACTGAACAACATATTAACCCCAGAGCAAACATCACAGGTAAAAAAAGATGAACATCACATAAACTGATTTCACTTGCGTCAACCATATTTGGAGAAAATAAATGTGATTTCACTGCACAAATGGGTTTCTTCAAAGGGAGGTTCTGGGTGAAGACCCAGCGGTCTGTTATTCAGACCCTCTGAAGAATTTCATGCGGATGTCACACCGTGCCGGAACATTGGCACAGACGTAATGTTCCTGAGTACGGATGAACCACAACAACAAAAATCACCACCACAACAACAACAACAACAAGAAAACAACGGGAAAAAATAGACATTTAAAATAAATATCACAAACTTGCCAGGTAGTTTGCTGCGGTCACCCCCGGGTATGTTAGATCAAACCGGGTAACCAGCGCAGGCTGCAGGTGAGAAAATACAAAAGAGCATCACCAGCATGTCAGCTGCACTCAGGGAGGGAAGAGAGAGGCTGAGGAGACAGGATGAGAGAAGATGAAAATGCAGACATAGTGCATGAACCATGAGAGGAAGAAAGGAGGGGGAAGGAAAACAAAAGATGGCAGGATGAGGCTTTGATTTCAAGGTTATTTTGGCTCTGACCCCCTAAGACGACCTTCCGACCCTTGCTGCACACGAACGGTAAAAGCAATCTGAGGCTGTTCACACAGCGCGCGCTCTTGCTTTCATAAACAACTAGATGGAGAGGAATGGAACAGAATGCAGGGATCTCAAAATGAAAAGTTGAATGCATTTAACCCAAAACTAAATTCTATGCTCATGGCATAAGATGCTAAAAAAAAACAGTGAGATGCGGCATAGCGACTAAAGATGTTTGCCTGACGCATGTGTATATAAACCAACCACTTAAAAATAACGTAGATAGAACGTAAGAGCATGTCTTGTGTGTGACAGTGTTTTCACCTGTATCCCTCACCTTGCTATGGGGAACAGGAAGTGAGAGGAGTAGGTCAGTATAGGTTTTTTTTTGTGCTACTGACAAGTAACATCCTGCGCCTGAGTGTCGACGAGAGTTTGCTCTGAGAAATCACGTCTGTAGGATAGAGGCTGTTATGTGACTGGTGGAGAAGCGGCTGTTGGCAAAATAGAAAGATTGAGGTCTTAAAACACTGTCTGCACAAGAGATGACAGTGCAGAATTCTGATGAGCCTAATGCTTCAGACAGGTCTATACACTCTGGAATAAAATCATACTCTCCCTCAGATCAAATAAAAGCACAGAGCTTTTGAATCATCTGCAGACAATCAGATGAGGCACAGTCTGTTAATGTCTCTATGGCAGAGAGCGTGACTCCAGCCGGGCCATATCTGATTACAGAAAAACAGCAACAAAAGCTTTCAATTCTGAAATAAATAAATATTTTGGTTTGTATCTGGCATTTTTCATGAATGCAGTACACTTAAAAATGCACATATATATATATTGATCAAACTATTTGATAATCTGTGTATATAAGTTTTTATTGAATTGATAATATTCCATAAGTATTTTATTTAAATTCATTTAGTTATTTAATTTTAATTAATTAATTGTAATTTAATTTAACAAAATTTGATTAATAAATAAATACATTTATTAATTGTATTTTACCAAAAACAACTTACTATTGTTAAAAATGTTTGGGGTCAGTAACCTTTTATTTAAATCGATTAAACTGATCAAAAGTGACAGCAAAGACTTCTACATTGTTATATATATATATATAAAAATAGATTTCAAATAAATGATTCATCAAAGAATCCTGAAAAAAAATGTATCAGGGCTTTCGCAAAATTAAGATGCACAACTGTTCTCAACATTGATAATAAAAAATAAATGTTTCTTGAAAATCATAATATTAGAATGATTTCTGAAGGATGTGATACTGAACACTGGAGTAACGGCTGTTGAAAATTCAGCTTTGCATCACAGGATTAAATTGCATTTTAAAATATACTAAAATAATAAAATGGTTATTTTGATATTGCAATAATATTTCACAATATTACTGTTTTTATTATAAAGCTTATACTGTGTCTTATAAATCTTGCTGACCCCAAATTCCTCTTTCAAATTCAATAAATAAATATTAAAATAAAATAAATACAAATAAATCTGCAATTGTACTAGGATTTAAAAGGTGGAATGTCTGAAACAGAGATTCATTACCTAAATATTTGTTAAAGAATTATTTCTGATGATTTTACTGTGTCTGACAAATACAGTACAAAATAACCTACCTACTGCCACAGTCAAAGAGGTCTATAATGCAGCCACAATCCCCCTGCTTTTAAAGTAACAATTGAGCACCATCTAGTGTTGAGAAGTCATATCACAACAGCACAGCTTAGCACAGCACTAGAGTTATAATGAAGACCAACTCATAGCCTACTGTTCCAACAAATGCTTGTCTTACAGGTCAAACTTTTTAACAATAAATACATTTAAAAAACAAAAAAAAGATTTCTTTAGATTTTTTATATAAATGAGGAATGAAAATATGACATGGAAAACCAGACACTCAAAGAGGCAACCAGACCAACAAACAGACATACAAATGAAAAAAGAGAGGAGGTGAAAGACAGCAATGTGAAGAGGGCCATCGTGTTACATACTGGATGGTCCGAGAAAGGGTGACTTACCTTAAGTGGTGAAATGTGAGCGTGGGAAACGTAGCCATGCACATTCTCGATTTCTGAGAGGTTCTTTTCCGATACGTGCACCAGCTCCGGCGCTCGAACGTCATTGGTGAGCCGCGGGAAGCCATGTTCTGGAGGAGGGGAATCATCATCCTGATACCGATACTATATATGTGAAAAGAAAGAAGAAGACATGGGGATAGAAAGGAAAGCAGAAAAAACTAAATGAGAAAGGGCAGAAAGAAACTCACAATCCACTGCAGAGCAAAATGCAACAACGTAAATGACTTTCAGCCAATGAGTTCTGTGCCCTGTGAGACGAACAAGCCAATTCATTATTTGGAGAATTGAGAATGACTGAAATCATGATGCATGGTGAAGTTTCATATTTTCTGTGAGCAACTGCATGCACACGCAATTAAAGCAAAGCACTGCTGCTGACATGCTCCAGTCAAGAGAGAGAAGTTCTAAATCAGGGCTAATCATCTGCAGACAATCAGATGAGGCACAGTCTGTTAATGTCTCTATGGCAGAGAGCGTGACTCCAGCCGGGCCATATCTGATTACAGAAAAACAGCAACAAAAGCTTTCAATTCTGAAATAAATAAATATTTTGGTTTGTATCTGGCATTTTTCATGAATGCAGTACACTTAAAAATGCACAAAGAGGCAAAAA